TTCTGGATCATGGGGCGAGAACGACGACGACAGCCGGATTTGTCGGCTCCGGCATGTAATTTTGTCTGTTTATTTATTACTATATGTACGGTGATGCACTTTCCACTAGCGCTAGGGCTCTGAATCTGGGGCCGGACGGGAACCACACAGGAAAGATCCCGCTCCACCGGTAGTGATGGTCTTCAGCAGTCAGCACCGTCAACTACCTTTTTTGGGGTTTCTTTATATCGTATATCCTAGTATCTTCTTATCTTACGAAAAAAGTAAGTTAATATATTCATGCTTGTCATGATAGGGAACGCCAGGTACATGCTTGTGCTTTCGAAACTACGTATTGTGCTTTCGAAACGACGTACAAGACGGACAGTGCACTATATATATACATATTGCAACATGACTGGGTGAAGAGAGAGTGTGTCTCTCTATCTCTGTATATATGACAGAAATTAAAGCTTAATCCAGCGTCTGACTATATAGCCCCCAGTGGCCAGTGGCCACGTCGACCGGTTGGTACGGCTGGACAAATATATGCCTGTCTGAAAAAGTTTGTAAGTGGTGCAAATGATTAGAATACATTTGTTGTGAGGCTGGTGATGAGATGGTCCGTCCATCGCCAATTTGATAGTTAGTGATCATACATTGTACTTGTATATCGCCAAAAAGGTATCATTATCAATAATGTTCCTCTAATTGGCAACTTCACTATTATATAGAGTATAATTGGCATGCATGTTGCGGTGTTGCCTGGCGGGTTATCCGTGAATGACAGAGAGTGAGCCTAAATTACTCAGTCTGTACTTGTAGTACGTGGAAGATCACTGACGGCACGCCCATTTGCGATAGTTAAACAGCAGGAGGGGTAATTAAGCTTTGCCGCTGCCCGGTGATGGGCGCAGCGGCCGTGCAGGGCAGCCGGAGTCGGCAGGGGCAGTCCAGCAAAAACGCCAATACCGGCGCGGCGGCGCGTAGCCGTACGTGGCGACGCGGCCACGTGAAGACGGCGGGTGGCGGTGGTCAAAACTTGCAGCAGTGCCACCGCACAGGCAGGCAGGCAGGCAGGCACAGCAACAACAAAAGGGTAGTACGAGTCACTACGTACGTACGTAAACAACATTAATTCGTGGAATCCAAGGCAGTAGCATGGGAGGAATGGATCGAGCGCGGCCGGTGGGCGGTGACCATGCCGCCATGGACTGGATTCCTAGCTGTCCTTGGATCCACGTGTAGCGCGCTACTAGTCCACTCCTATTTGCGATCACACCAACTGCGTGCCGTTTGATTTGATCTGAATTTGCTTGACTAGTGTAGCCATGCATGCATATACTACTAGAGATTAGAGGATGTTTGGATGACCGCCACCGCTCGTCACGCCCAAGATGCGGCAGAGTTTTTCGGCCGCGTCTACTGGTCGCCCGCGTCTACTTCGAGTCTTCAACTCTACGCGACTATGCTGGGCATGCGTTCATTCAAGCGTTAGACCATGTTTGGGACCGCTTATATAAGAATCGATTATAATCTAAACAAGATTTTGTTATAAGCTGCGGTCTAAAAAAAATTCTCCGGTGAAAAAATATAGGTGTTTGTCTATCCTGATTATATAGCAATCGGTAGTGTAAAAGACGTGTGTCCTGCTTGCTCGGCTGCCCCAGACTTCCTCGGTCATCCTCCGTTCCTCCGGATTCGGAGGGGAAAGCGTGCAGGGGCGGCTGTCCGCCCATCCGGGTCCTCGATCGAGGGTGCGCGAGCCTGCAGGTCTATTCAAGAGGCACCGCCAGAGGAGTCCAGGGCGCAGGGCAGCAGGCGACGGCGGAGCACAGTCCAGGGCGGCGGGCAAGCGGACGTGTGCCGTGCCGAGGGGCAACGGCTGTAAAATCGGCCGCGGTGGGGAAAACACGCCGAAGCCCTCGCGGTACCGAGAACGCCGCTCACAGTTGATTTGCGATTTCTTTCGCCGCAGCGGCCGAAACAATCGTGAAAGAATAATATACGTTTGGGTGGGATTTTCGATTATTTCCGTCTCGATTCCGGTTATACGCGGAAACAAACACACCTTTAGTGTGTCTGCAATAAAAAAAAATCTTAACATGCTCCTAGAATACACTGCACGGAGTAATATATCTCTGTCATAAAATAAAAGATGTCATAGGCCATATCGGCTTCTCTTCTAATCCGTCTTTTTCAGCTGGTTTTTCCAGTCGAAACAGTGTTTTTCACTCACAGCAAATCAGCCCGAACAGTGTTTCAGCTTATTTTTTCAGCGAAGCGAACGGGGCCATACTCTTTAACTTACTAGTGCGGCCTTTAAAAATATACTTTGAACACTAATTTTTCTTGTAATATAAATAATTATCTATAGCAACAGAACTTTGACTATTAGAAAACATTTCTAAATCGGTAATGCTCAGGGGCATGCGTCCATCCGATCAGACACTGTCTTTCTGGGCTTGCGCGGCCCACCAAGCCTGCCTTCTCCTCTTTATGTCTCCCACGTCTCTCTCAAAAATATCTACCCACTTGCCGAGCCAAGGGCACCCATGAGCGCGACCTGTGCTGGTGGTGCTCGTGCCCCGTGGCCGGAATCAACCGGCCCCGACCTCCTCTCTAATATGTTGCAAATATATGTTTCAAGTGTTTCGGATGTTTCAGAGGTATGTTGCAGGTGTTTCATATGAATGTTGCAAAAGTAGATCGGGATGTTCTATATGTTGCAAGTGCTTCATAGGCATGTTGCAAGTGTTTCAGAGACATATTGCGAGCGTTTATTCAAAATGTTTCATCTGTTTCAGACGTATGTTGCATGCGTTTTTATCTGAATGTTGCATATGTTTCACACCTATGTTGCAAGAGTATGTTCGAAATGTTTCAACTGTATCACTCTTATGTTGCGATAAATGTTTTCATGTTGCAATTTGCAAATATTTTATCTGGATATTGCATATGTTTCACACACATGTTGTAATTGTATGTTTCAAATGTTTTATCTATTTCAATCGTACGTTGCATCCAAGTGTTTCATGTTTCAGAGGTAGAGAGTCATGGGCGCACGACCTGGACGCCGGGGGATGGGGTGATCCGTGGGCTGGCGGTCGGGGCGCGCAGCGCATCTAGGATCTTGCGGACGAGGCGTGTGCTTGTCCTCATGATGGCTCTCGGGTCCCACCCGCCCAGAGATAGAGGAGGGGAGCAGGGGGGAAGGAGCGATGGGCGCGGCATTTCCCGCGGGCGTGCGGACTCGCGGTCACAGGAAAGAGAGGAGGGTATACGGAGAAATTAGACTTAGAGGTTGTTCGCTGGTTAATTTCTCAGCTGATAAGCCTAGCTAATTCTAGTTTGTTGTGAAAAAAATACTGTTGACTAATTGATAAGTCCTAACTAAAACCAACTTACAAACAAGCTGTTAGACTGGAGGTCGTCTCCAGCTGTCTGTGTCGTGGAGGACTCGTGGACTCTGCGACCGGCGGTCCATCTCATCTAACCGCGTCATCGGAGAGCATGAACCAGCTGCATCTGCATGCTAGTCGTACTTACGTTGCTCAGCCATGACGTACCATACCAGTACGGCAGTACCAGTACATTATTACTATTTCAGACCCCACTTCACTGACCAGTGACCACCAATGTAGACCTGGTAGATTTGATAGTGACCTCGTACTAGTTTGAAAACAAAAGTGGATGAAAATCGTGGCCCTTCCCGTTCCCTACGCCTACGCGGTTCTTAACACGGGACGGGAGTACTCTGCTCCTACGGCACACACACACACACTCGCCGTGCGCCGACCGGCCACTCGTGGCAGCAGAGGTAGCGACCCACGTAGCACGATGTGTGTGTGTGCGTGTGTGTATATATATACCATGCATGGGACCCGCCGCGGACTAGATCCATCGCTGCACCGTCCTAATCGCACAACATACAAATTAAAAAATTAAATAGTACCTTCTCCTCAAAAGTAATCGTATAAACTCCTGTTCTGTCTGCTGACACTGACATTGTCGATTGACTGAAACCAAAAGGGAATGGTGCGGTGCGTGCAACAGAAGCATCTGATTTCCTGTGCCTACCTAGCACAATGCATTGCATGGTCATATCAGAACTCCATCGTTCACCGGAATCAAGCTACCATACATGAAACAGACCCAAAACAAAGTACTCCATCCACGCTGGAGCAGTTGAGCTTTTGGATAAGCATCGATGCAGATGCCGATGGCTCAGCTAACTGAAGCTTAATTTACGAGCCTAAAACTAGCCCAGACTAGAAATAACCACCAGCCAGTGAGACAACAAGCAAGACTCATCGTCCTACCAGCCAACTACCATCAAATTTTCCGTTCTCTAATTGTTATCTCTCGATCCCATTCCCATGAAACATGTAGGTCAACACGGTTTGTATGCAGCGGTGTAAAAATAACGTTTAGTCCTTGACCTCACAAGACGGAAGATCTTAGCACGCAGGGCCCCATCGAAGAACCAGCAGGTCTCCTCTCGTCTTGTTGTTGGATTCATTAACAAGGGGAACCACTGCTTCCTTAATTACTTCTATTACCTATCCAAAGGGTCAAAGTCACGGTCCACGAGTCTGGTCTGAACTCGACTGACCACGGGCCAAACTCTTCCTATGCTCTCTTTTCTTTTCTTTTTCTTTTTTGTTTTGTTTTGCATACTCCAGTACAGTTTTTGCAACTGTCGTCCAAGCAAGACCAATTTGCAGTCGTCTTTAGTTAAGCTCCCTCTGACATGGCTGCAGGGCAACGACGCGTCATGTTGAAGCAATTCACCCGGTCATTGCCGGGCTATTTTCTTTCTCAATCCGCTCTTCTCATACAGAATATGAGTTCAAAACTCTACTTGTCCAGCTACGATTTCAAAACCGTGGGACTACCTATAATATTCATGTTTTCAAAGAAACAGTTGCTCCTGAGTAAATAAAGAAAATGTTTTCCAAGTTGGACTTCTTCCGTACTACTTTCACAAAAATACTACTACTAGTAGTAGTGAAAGGTTCTCAGCCCTGCGCGCTTGTAACAATACATCGCAAGGGTACCATATCACAGGGATAAATAAACCATACAAAAGCAAACATGCAACTACAAACTTCAGACACATTTGAGCACGGAAGTTCACTGCAATTCAGAATCAGAAGGGAAATGAGGAACACCAAAACGCACATATTCTCAGAGAAGCTCAGCTGCTCCAAGAGACAGGCGATTGGATGAACAATGAATACCTGAACACTGCCATATCAATTGCAGAAAAAAAAAACTTCATATCATATGGGCACCTGTGCAAGGTCAACAGGTCGAACATCAAGGTTCGTTGGTTCCACAATCCACTTCACTCATCAGAGATTTCGGAATACAAAATACATCATACATGTTCAAAACTCCTAGAGTACACGAGGGTGCTGACAAAAATAATCTGGAACATATGCAGTTGCATAACAGCAACCAGATAGCCACACAGAGCCCTGAGGTACCTCACTCGCTAACAGAGAGAGATCTCTGCCTCCGAGGAGACCTGCTAACACTGGGGCCTGCACTCCTTGATCTGCTGTCAGCTGGTGAACGCGACACAGATCTCTCTCGAGGTCGAGGAGACGGGGACCTGTCAAGAAGGTAGGCGAGCCAATCAATTTGAACTGGGACATTACAAGCACATGGAGTTTTCATCAGCACATAGGAGGGGGATGGAAGCAAGTCATACCTTGAATAGTGCTTTCGCTTAGGTGCTGGCGAGTAGCTTGGGCTGTGGGACCTTGATCTACCCCTAGGAGAATCGCTGTAACCAGGTGACCTTGAGCGCAACCTCCGATCATAAGAACGGCCTCTGCCACTACAGAAGTAACAAAATGCATGAGTAAATTAGCTTTTGCCTCCTAAAATGCTATGGCAGATGCGTACGCACAAATGAACAGTTATAGAATGGGTATCATAAGGGGACTAGTACCTCATTCTTTCCCTGTCCCTCATGTCAGAAGGCTTCTTCCTGTTTTCCTCTGCAAAAACAACAGTAATTTCCCTTCCAAGCAGCATCTGCCCATCCATATGGTACTTTGCATCAGAAGCATCCTCAGGATCAAAGTATTGGATGAACCCAAATCCTTTAGGTTCCCTGAGACAGAAAGCAAATTTTAGTACTTCACTAAAAATAGCAATCGTTCGGAACCATTAAGGAGAAAACCCCTGCATAGACAATCAAATCAACATGCTGCGAACTCTTCCTTCCAAGAATGGTGATACACACAAATCAATTTCAATTGATACACAAATCAATCTCAAAGGTAAAGCAGGCACTAAGCTGCTGACCTTGCACTTCAAACTCTTCGTAACTTGCATATCTCTTTAAACCTCTATTTCTTCCTTTTCTTCAATAGTACTCTTAAGACTTGTGTCTTCAAAAAAGTTACTTTCACTGTTAATCTGAGGGGGTGGGTAAAGCAATCCAGTGTAAACCAAAGGAAACAGAGCATAACAATTTAAAAATCTGTAAAGAACATATTTAATATGTTAAAACAAGAAACACCATGGTATTTATAAAGAACATAAGCCTGTTCTGGATCAAATATACTTTAGTGTACTATACAGCTCAGGTAGAGATCGCCAAGTTGCACGTAGGAGTCCATGGGCAAACACCTACTCACATAATTAAGACAAGGTGCCTTACCGAGTGTAGTAATCCTTTGGCAGATATATGTCTTTAAGGCGACCAAATTTTCCAAATGGTCTACGAAGGTCATCAGGCCTGCAGTTGCCATAACAGCCAAGTTACAGTTGTGTAGTGTCAAAGAATAATCCATCCTCATCGTTATATGCAATAGGAAGCACCTCATAAACATGGAAAACAAAAAGGACTTCAGAACTGAAAACTCAGTAAAATCAGGGGAGGGTACACTTCATTAATAAGACATAACTTATGAAGCAGAATGCATTTCAAATCCCTCAGAATAGCTAGACAGAACTGTATATTTACAATTTATATCTGTTCTGTACAGGAGCTACATTCCATGGGGCTAATTTGAAAAATAAAAGATCAACATGCTTTTTTTTATTTGCAAGAAAAAAAAGATACTAAATGTCTTAAGCAAAATTAAGAATTGAGTCCTCACAAGCCTGCTAATTCTATTCCCTTTGACAAATTCCAATATTATAATGAATTACCTATTTTCTCTTTACCAATTCAATAACTATTGAAAGCAGCACCAAAGAAAATCCATTCTACTACTGATCCAGGAGCAGGGAGAATCTTACCTACAATCCCGACGAAGATTCCTCACCAAAAGACTAGTTGGGAGGTCCCTACCACGGCCTCCATAACGACCACGAGGACTTGGGCTGCGAGTTCTTCTCCTGTAACCTCTTGGTGGCGATGGACTGTAATCATAGCTTCTTCCCATGTTCTAAGAAGCCAAGAGAAAATAATAAGATTCATTAGAAACGGCACAATAGCAATTCCGTTCATTAAAATCATGCATTTACATATCAGATCCTCTTAAATAAAAAACAAAAAAGAATCAAGGCCATGAAGAAACTATATATCTACTCAAACAGGCACCAAAGTATAACGTTCTTCATTAATTACTGTAAGTAGGCTAAACAAAAGACATATATTCTGTTATAAACTGATTGCTTCTTTAGTTGTTTATATATGCAGGGAATCCAACTCCATCCCGTATCTAGAATCATTTTACCAATAGAATCAATTTTAAAAAATGCTGCTTAAGACGTGCACATGCGTGGACGTCATCCATCATGAACTTTTCCAGTATTACAATACATAAACGTGCTACCGAGTGTAGATCTGTATGAGCAAATACAAGCAGATAGTCAGCGCACCCAAGAAAACAAAGTCTTCCTATCTTTTCTTCTCACAATTCTTCTGGGAGGTTCTACCAGCACGCCGTCCATCCCACCCTCCCCGGGGAAATAACAGCTTCAACACGCGCACGGCCCTCCTCCAAGGCGCAAACGACCAATCCCAAAAGAATCTAAAGAGCTCCCCCTCCCCCTCGGCGCAATGAAACCACTCAATCCCACTTTCAAAATTGTGTGCGGAACACGCCCTCAGCCCAAGGCAACAGGCCGACGCTCCACGTTCCACAACGCGATAACGAACTAGGGTTCCTCGACCAGGGAAAACGACCGAATCGACTAGACAAAACGCACGCCGAACATCATCCAACCGCGTCAGATTCGAAGCGGGGAAGACCACGGGGGAGTGCACGGCAGCGCTCACCTCGGCGGAGCAAATCAGACGGCTCTCCTGGCAGCAAACTATCAGAAATCAGAGCGGCGCAACCCCCTCCCCTCTGGAATCGGAGGCGTACCTCTTTTTGTCTAGGGCACGGGGAGCGGCGGGTGGCCTCCTGTCTCCGGAAGCTTCCGAGGTCCGAACGCGACCGCGACGGGTGTGTGAAAGACGAGGAGCGCGGGGTGGGCGGGGCCGTGCGGTTTTTATTAGAGAAGGGGAAACGACATGGAGTTGGATTCGGGCCGGTACAACAGTTGGGCTGCGTATGTGGAGGGCCACGTTGTTGGGCTATATACTCGTTTGAGCTCGGCGTGGGCCTATGGATCATGGGATTAGGCCCAAACAGGGTCAAGGTCTCTGGAATCGTTTTCTTCTTCCTTGTCAAATGACTCGGTTCTAAAATCTATCCCTCTGATTCCAAATGTATGTTGCCTCGAACGACGACGCAACCAGATGATTGTCCTGATTTTTTTTTTAAAGTGCACTATTTTATATAGTGAAAGTTATGTAGGAAGGTTTTTCTTAGATTTTTGACGCAATGCTTTTTCTACAATTACTCTAGTAATATCAGCCACATGCTATCAGTCTGTGTCGTATATTGACAGGTCAAGTAAAAAAGAATGACCAACTAAAATCTCAAATAAATTACGCTCAGAAATGGAGAGAGTTTATGATTTTTCTCACTACAACAAAAAGGATTTGCAGCAACCTCTTTTTTTAGGCTCTGTTTTACCGTCCCTGTAAATAGTTTCCAAACAAGCCGTCCTAGATTTATAGGGGCTTTTGCCGTTATCAGCCGCCCCTGGCCTGATTTATAGGGACGGCTGGATATCGAGCCGCCCCTACAAATAGACGCCGAATATTAAAATTAAGTATTAAAATTCAAAATTTTCAAACGATCTTAGATGGAGAAATAACCAAAATAAAAGTTGTAGATCTCGAAAAATTATAGAACTTTGCTGTTTACAATTTTTTCATTTGAAATCGTTTACTATTTTAAAATGTTGTCTAAAATTTAATTTTTAAATTATCGAAGAACTCTGATTTCTCATTTTAATCTTCAGCTAAAACTTGTAACTAATCTTTCTCACTCATACTAACTTTAAATTTGATGATTTTTTCCTAAAAATTTCTAAAATCAAGCTCTATCAATTTTTTGTGTTCTTACAGCTATTATTTTGGTTATTTTTTTCATGTGACTTTGTTTTTATCAAATCAAAATTTGAATTTCAAAAAATGACAACTTAAAATAATATTTTAAAAGAGTAAATGATTTCAGCTGAAAAAGTCATGAACATAAAAGTTATAGAACTGATCAAGATCTACAACTTTTATTTTGGTCATTTGTCCATCAAGCAAAGTGGTAATATGCATTGTTCATAAATTTACTTATTTACTATAAGAGAGAGATGTAAATTGGTGAACAATGCATACTACCACTTTATCGGATGGACAAATGACCAAAATAAAAGTTGTAGGTCTTGATCATTTCTACAATTTTATGTTCATGATTTTTTTTCAGCTGTTCTTTTAAAATGTTGTTTGAAGTTGTCATTTTTGAAAATTCAAATTGTAAATTGTTCAAACAAAGTCATATGAAAAGATGACCAAATGAAAGTTGTAGATCTCAAAAAGTTATAGAACTTTGTAATTGACAACTTTTCATTTGAAATCATTTTGTCAAGGAAAACTACGTTTGAATTTCTCAAATTTAAAATTTGAATTTTTCAAACGACCTCAGATGGAGAAACAACAAAAATGAAAGTTGTAGATCTCGAAAAGTTATAAAACTTTGTAGTTGACAAATTTTTATTTGAAATCATCTTGTCAAAGAACAATGTTTGAATTTCTGACTTTTGAAATTCAAATTTTTTAAATGACCTTGATGGACAAAGAGCAAAAACGGAAGTAGTAGATCTTAAAAAGTTATACAACTTTGTAGTTGATAACTTTTTCATTTGAATTCGTTTAGGGTCTCAAACAATCAATTTAAATTCGGTTGAGGATAATACGAGGAGAAAGAAAATCCATTATAAACACAAATGAGTGTGAGGTGCCGTGGTTAGAGGAGTATCGCGTGAGGGAGGGGGTGATTTGCAACTGCGGCGGAGCGGGCGGGTGGCTGTCCGGTGAGAGCCTCCCTAGATTTTTTTTTCTATTTTTTGGCCGAATTCGTGATGATACAAATCTTGAGCCGCTCCTAAAAATCCGATTTGTAGAGACGGCTGGTCAACAGTCCCTACAAATCAACGATTTGTAGTCACATTTTCGTAGGGGTGGCTGACGAAAATGCCCCTACAAATGCTTATGAGCAGCCCCTACGAAGGCTGGCTGTAGCAGTGTCTAGTGCTAGTCACTTTAAATATAAAATCCTATGAAGAAGCAGTTCGAGATTTCAACTTTTCCATTAACTCAAAGCCTGGAGTGCCCTAAGGTGAATAATTTAACATTCACCAACCAGTTACCACTACAGGAAACCAGGTTTCTTTCAAAACTGCTGTTATTGTTCTTCTTTGTATCTTTAATTGTGTCTTATGGATGAGGCTGAGCAAGTGTACATACTTGATGTAATTGTCATTATAAGATCGTAAAGTGTACATGATATTTTGATGGAAACTATATGTGTAGGCCACCATGGTTCAGGCAAACAAGCACGCCCCATATGCTACCAAGATAAGGTGATGTGAGGTAGTTTTGTTTAAGAAAGATGTAGGGGTGACACGGGAGCTAGCAGCAACAGGAAAGATGAAGATATGATGTGTGTGGAGAGGATGAAGATAAGCAGGTGTCTCACACAATCAAGACAACTGAACGAACAGCATGACGGCTCAAATCATCAAAACAGAAGCCTAAAATAAGATTAGACAGAATCTTCCCAACATTTTTTCTCACGGCAGTGAGTTTTTCATATATTTATGTACGCGTTTCCCCAACAAAAGAGGCGTGGCATAATAGTCCGGACTCCGGGTCCTTTCTCTCATTTTTTATCCTTTGTTTTCCCTTTTATTAAGATGTAGTATATTGGTATATCGCGGAGTCCGTCTTTGTGTGAAAAGGCGAATTGAAAAGCAATCTGTTTGGCATCTGGGCAAGAAGACAAACCTTGAAAAGGCGATGCGTCCGGTTCACTTGGCTTATAAGCCATACTTTTTCAGCCAACGAACAGTATTTTTTTCTCACAACAAATCAGCTAACAGTACTTTCAGCTATGGCTTATCAGGCAAGCAAACATATACTTACGACCTTACGTACACCTGTTCATTCATAAATAAAGTTCGACAAAAGAGGAGTGCAGCACAGCAACGTAGGTTCCAGAGTCCAGAGGAGGCTACCACGTTCAGATTGCCATTTTTTGACGCTAGTTCAGATTGCCATTTGTCACCAGCCATTGCGATTTGCGAAGCGGATAGTGTACATGTGCGGGAGCATGGGAGGAGGAGGAACCGATGTTTTTTTCTCTCTCGTCCGCTCTCGGAGCCGCAAAGTTTCCTTTGATCGCAAGCATCTCGCGATCCCAAAGGCTCTAGTGGTGAGCATGCGTGATGCGCTGCCGCGACGACGGCGGCGGCGTCGCTGCCTTTTTGTTTGGCACGACAATATTCTTACCGTCGTATGTGCTGTGCTTTTAAACTTGAGTGGCTGTCCCATTATATGTTTAAACATGTATTGAGTATTAAATATAGACTAATTATAAAACTAAATGTATAAATTAAGACTACCTTGCAAGACAAATTTATTAAATCTAATTAGTTCATAATTTGACAATGTGGTGCTACAGTAACATGTGCTGATGATGAATTAATTAGGCTTAATAAATTCATCTCGCGGATTACTGACGGATTCTATAATTTATTTTTTATTAGTATCCGAATACCCAATGCAACACCCCATATGACATCCGATGTGACATCTCTTAAACTTTAGTCCCTGTATTAAACACCCCTTAATGTCTTCAGCTTACCCTTTGACGGCGACGGGATGCGTACCACGTAGTATTAGGAATGCTCTTCTTTTTTTAGTACCACAAAAGTTAGGCCGGTCGATTATCCGCGAGATGTTAGATATCTTTTCTTACTAGATAGAAAATATACCCGTACACTGCAATAGCAGAGATATGATTCGTATATAAGTAGATGATTTTTGAAT